CCGCGCCCAGCGATGGCTCGGCTGGCGCCGCGCCGCGCGGGGTGCGGGTTGTCCGCCCGCTAAGACTCGCGGGGCTGGGGAACCCGCGGGGCCTCGGCTCTCCCGCCGCGCCCTTCCCCCTATCGGGGACTCCGCTGCAGCTTTCCGGGGGCGAGGGGGACAGGGGGGCCGAGACAAAGCCCACTTTGTGCGGGGAGTTGGCTGCGGGCGTGGAATGTGCAAGTCGGCGCGCGCCCCCTCCCCGCGTCCCGCCAGCTGTGAATCTTGGCTCCGGACTCGTCGCGTCGGAGAAATCGCTGCCCCTCGCGGCCCTCCGGTTCTGGGGGGGCCCTGCTTGGAGCTTGGCCTGGAGTCACCTCAACACTCACCCCCATCCCTTCCTGAGCGCGCGCAGGTGTGAGCGTGAGAGTATTTTGTAGAGGAATTTGGTTTGTTTTTACTAAACTGGGGGGTCTGGGGAGCCCAGTCAGCGTGGGTACTCGTGCCTGGGGCCCCTTCCGTGGCCCGAGGTCCGAGCTGTCTGGCCTCAGTTTCCCTCGGACTTTTCTCCTCTGCCAGCCCAGACTGCTGCCCATCATTGTTCTCACCGTCAAACGGGGGTGCTTTGTGACGACTGCCAGGCTGGGGTGTGTTCTCTTTTCCTCGCTTTTTCAAACGGAACTAGGCCTCTCAGGCTGACCCTGGACCACCTGCCCCTCGTCCCCCACTTCTCCGCGATGCACTGACCCCCCCTCCCCCCTCCCCTCTCGAGTAGTATTTTATTGTACGGAGCCACGCCCTGGTCCCTTAAAGGCGCCTCGCACTCCCTTTGGCCATGTGTTATCGCTGCAGCTGGTGTGTGGGAGGCCTTCTGTGAGCTACCTACTTTACCCCCCCTGCCTCCTAACACATCCTCCCACCCCATCAAGGATTTGGGGATGCCAGGAGGGAAGAAGGTGGTCGGGGGTGGCAGCGGCGGCGGCAGTGCTGCCCCAACTGCGGCTGCCGCCCCCTCTGGGGTCAAGCGTTTGGAGACCAGTGAAGGGGCATCGGCACAGAGAGAAGATGAGCCAGAGGAGGAAGGGGAAGAAGACCTGCGGGAAGGAGGCGTCCCCTTCTTTGTCAACCGGGGCGGGCTGCCTGTGGATGAGGCCACCTGGGAAAGGATGTGGAAGCACGTGGCCAAGATCCACCCCAATGGAGAGAAGGTGGCCCAGCGGATCCGTGGAGCCACCGACCTGCCCAAGGTGAGGGGGTTGGGGTGGGGTGGGGTGGGGGAGGAGGGGGGAGGGCCTGTTTAGGATCTTAGCCCTTAGGGGAGCAACGTGCTCTTTCCTTCTTGGAGCAGGGGGCCACTGGAACTAAGGTTTCCTTTAACCCACTTTGAACCTGCCCAAAGAACTTTTTCTCAGATGCCATTGGGCTTGTTCTGGGAGGCCGGCAGGCTGTCTCCAGGAAGCCCTCCTCCAGCTCTTTTAAAATGTCCATGTTTGGGGGGCAGGGCAGCAGATTAAGGAATGAGGACAACTGCATTTCTTGACTTATTTGCTAAGCCAGAAAAGTGTGGATAACTAAGAATACAGGACCTGGGACATTGAGAACAGGGTTTTCATGCTAATGAATCCGGTAGCCTTGTCAGGTCAGTGCAAGTTTGGGGCCCCATTTTAGAGGTGACAAAATAAAAACTCATGTAGGAGTCCCGGTCCCACACCAGTTAGTCACAGAGCTGGGACTCTGTCCCCATCGTCAGGATTCAGGTCCACTGTTGGATGTGGATTCTGGGTAGGAGAAGAAGGCCCATGGAGGGGAAGAAGTGAAATCACTTTTCTGGGTAGGACTGACACTCTCCGAGGCCCTCCCCTCCACTTGTGTCACGGTGAAGGCTGAGACTGTCTCATTCGGCTTTGTCTTTCCAAGGCCTCCTGTGTGCCTGGCACAAAACTGGCGTGTCTGTGTTTGCCAAACAAGAGGGTACTCCAGACTTTCTGGGCCGCGAGTGCTGCATGGAGATATGTCTTGGTTTTTTTCTTAACCATTTTGGCTAACACCAAGGAATCACTCTCCCAAATGCAGAGACTGAAATCCTCCCCCCACCCCCCGAAAAAGTCCTTTAAACAGAGGTCAGAGGAAGGGGGCCAGGGAGAGCAGCAGTTGTCGGCATTAGATTTGGTGACAAATGACCGGATTTGTGTTTTTGACCAAGTTACTGGTGGCGCCATCAGAAAGTGTCTTCTGGGCAAGGAAAGTGAAGCAGCTGCCTGGTATTTCAAGGGGAAGTAAAGTGTGGGTTTGATCACGCCTGGCTACATAATTGCCCTTGGTGAAACTTGGACTTTATTTAGTTTACCCTCCATGTTGGACCTTGGTTCAACGTTTTACTCTTACAAGGAACACTGTGGTGAACACTCTAAAACACAAAATTGGGCGCCTGGTTCTGATTAATTCTTTGGAATAAATTCCTAGAAGAGAAAATATTGCATCAAAGAGTGTGGGCTTTGGCTTGGACTGCCTGTCTGTCCTGGTGACCGTAAGCAGGCCTCTTTAAGCAGTCTTTCTCATCTGTAAAATAGGCTTGGTTGTGGTAGAGATTAAGAGACCGAGTTAAAACATTTGACAAATGGTAAAGCCTTCAACCAGCACTGACTGACTGCTCATTCAGTACCTTTTTTTTTTTTTGAGGCCGTCTTCAGCACACAGAGGTTCGATTTCCCTCAGATCATTTGGATGAGGGAGGCCAGAAAATAGCTCCTGCCATGAGCGAGTTGGCATTTGGCAGATGGCTCTCCTGCCATCTTGCTTCTGTCCAAATCTGGCTACGGGAGAGTGTGAACAGGTCCTTGCAAAATTGTCCCCGTTCTTAGTAACTAAAAACAAAGCAAAAAAAAAAAAAGCCGATGAGCATATTAGGGCCTGGTCTAAAAGGTGGTCTTGCCTTCTTCATTCTTCATATCTAGGGAGGACTGGTGAAGGAATGAACTCTTGTTGGGGGTGACAGGAGGATGACCGTATGCAGGAACTTTGTGAGAGGACTGGAAAAGTCAACATCACCTGACACCACAGGAAAACACAACCCACCCAAGTCTGTGTGGGGTTCCTCCTTGACCTTGACCTGGGGTAGAAAGGACTAGCCTTGTCTGGGGGGCTGGGCAGGGCTCCAGAGAGCCAGAGCAAAGGGCCACTGAGCTGACCCTCCCTGAGCGGCCAGGCCCTGGCAGCTGCCCGCAGAGATGCTTTGTGGGGGGAGAGGCTTTGCTAGGGTGGTACCATATTTTAAAAGACCACTGGAGCCATAATTTAAAGCTGGGAGTTTTCACATAAAGACCCAGATCCTTGGCATCTTTTCAGAAAATGAAAAGCTGCTGAAACGGAGAATCCTCTCCTGGCTGCTGGCACTGGAGCCCAGCAGGGCCCCCCCAACTCCCACTGCGCGGGCCGTACTCCCAACCTGCCCATCCTGTGACCTGCCTGGCCCTGCGGGTGGCGGAGTCTGGGGCCTCTCCAGCACAGGAGGATAAAGAGCTCTGCGGTGGATGGAACCCACCTGTGCAAATCCTGTCTCTCCCGTCACCACTTTGTGAGGAAAATACGCAATCTTCTGCACCTCAGTTTCCTCAGCTGTGATATGGGGATAATACCAATACCCACCTCAGAGGGGTGTTGGGAGGAATTAATGAGGGAATTGTGGAATTAATGAAGTAACAGGAACAAGGAGTGGGGGTGCAGCAAGCCATCCCATAGGCATTGGGGGGAAACATCATTCAAAAAGGTGAGGCCAGTATGGTTAAGGGCAGCTGTTTCTGAAAGAATCCCAGATCCAGGTTGTTTCAAGCTACCGCCATCTTTAAAAACCCAGTGCCCCCTCATCCACCCCAGCTGCCCAGGCTCTGTCTGTGGCTCGGGACACTGAGCTCCTGCAGAGTTCGAATTTGGACGTTTCCCAAAAGACAACACTGCCAGCATGTGCTGTCTTTGGTGCATGCTGGACTGAGCCTCTGCTGTGGGCCATGAGCCTCCTTGCACCCCTCTTTACAGATGAGGCCTCTGAGGCACAACGAAGTCAAGGGCTTGATGCCACATAGTGAATAGTGGGCTTGGGGTCTCAACAGTGGTGGTCTGGCTGTGTACCCCTAGGCTGCTCTGCTTCCTGCCCACGGGCTGTGCCACCCCAGGACTCCCCAGCGAGCACATCCTCACAGGCCTCAGGACTTCAGCGGCTTCCTGGAGCAAGGGTAGCCCTTGGCCTGGTAGGAGGTCCCTGCAGAGATGTGGGCCACTCACACCGTTCACCCCCACCATACCCTACTCCACCCCACCCCTCAACAGTGAGGAAGCATTTTCTGTCTCCTGGCTTGGAGGTGAAGGTTGGGGGCCAACCCAGGCTCCCCATCCTAAAGTAGGTCTGGTGGTTCCACATACAGAATCTTGTTTGCTTTTGAGTGCCTGAGTACGCCTGTGTGGGTAGTCAAGGGAAAGAGATCGCGCTGTCTGCAGGTTCATGTGGGGGACGTGACTCATAAAGCTGCACCAGAGAGGGCCCTGCTGTGAACCCCAGATCTTTTATGACCTTGGGGGAACCATTCTTTTCTCCCAGAGCAGCCATTCCTGGGTCCTTGGCATGGCAGCCATCATGTCTTCGTGGTCCCTGCCCAACCCTGGCATTTAGACCCTTCTGGGGATGTCTCAAGGGAGGGTATCCTTGCAATCGCCACCTAGCGGCCTCGAACCACTGGGTGTCCTCATCTGAGAAATGGGGGCGCCCAGGCTGCCTCTCCAGGCTTTCTGCCTGAGGTCAGCTCCCTTTGAGTATCGTGGCTTTTGAAGTGATTTCCTCTTTCCTCTCCCACCCAGCTCTCCTTGACAGGGGCAAGTCTGTGCCCTCGGAGCATTCTGGAGCCCATCTGAGTCAGGGTGGTCAGGCAGGGGGAGGGAGAGTCCAGGCTGGGACTTCTGTCCCCTGGTAACTAAATGGTGGCACTGTGTTTTGGGGTTTTTTCTGGTGATGTGAAAGGGGAAATAACTTCCTCTAAACAGAAGTGTCAGCTGTTTGGGACTGTCCAGACAGGAAGGAGGAGAAAGATAGAGTGGGGCCAGGGCGGGAGAGGAGATGGCAGGGTGGGGGTGGGGTCCATTCAGCGCTCTGGGGCACACACCAGGCTTCCCTCCCACTTTCCGGCACATAGGAGTCCGTGGGGGTCTGTCAGAGGCTGTCATCCTGTGCCCGCTGGTGCCCACCATCAGGGGCACCTCAGACAGGAGCCAGGAGCCCTGGGGTCTTTTCCCTGTCTGTTCCCACATGCAGCCACTGCATGTGAAGGCCATGACCTGTAGGATGTCCACCCAGGGGTGCCTGCTGCCTGGTTCTCACAGCTCCCTCGTCACCCTCCCTCCACTCACACCCTGACCCTGCTGGTGTCTTGCAGTCCCAGACTGTGCTGGGGCAGAGAGAGGGTGGTGCAGGTAACAGCTCAGGTAAGAGAGGAAAGTTTATCAGGTGCTGCGATACTAGGGCGCGTGACCCCCTCCTCACGGGGGGGCTTCCCCAGCCCAGGGCAAGATCCTAAGAGGAAGGCCCCGTTTTGATCCAGTACTTAAACAAGGGCAAACCCCAACCCCGAATGAATCAGCCCCAGTACTGACATTCTTGTTATGACGTAACATTTAAAATTCAAAACATTCAGTGCATCAGCCTATGTTTTTCTGATATTATCAAAACACCAACTGGAACATCAGCTTAAGCGCCAATCAGGAATCTCATCCAGAGCCAGCAGAGAGGGACCAGTGGTGTGGCGGGAGTCTCTGGAAGGGGTTACCCAGGAAGGCGGCGGCTCAGAGAGGGAAGGGGGGGCTCTCTGCAAGGTGTGGCTTCTCCAGCGGCTCAGCGGGGCCTCAGGTGGGCTGCACCTGCAGGCTGAGCCGTCGGAGTGACCAGCGCTCTTTGTCCACCCCCAGATTCCCATACCGAGTGTGCCTACGTTCCCGCCCTCGACGCCTGTCCCTGAGCGCCTGGAAGCCGTGCAGCGCTACATCAGGGAGCTGCAGTATCCTCCCTGCCGGGTGCCCCTGTCTGCGAACGCTCTGGTCCAAAGCCCATGTGGGGCTTGTTTCCAGCTGGGCTGGAGAAGGGGCAGAGCTGCCCCCCACCACTGCAGGCCGTAGTCACCACCTCTGTGTGCCCCCGCTCCCTGGGTCCTGCACTGGAGGGAGTTTGTCAGTGGATGCACGCCCACTCTGGCTCTCGGCCACCTGCCCCTCTGTGTGACGGGCCAGATGTCTCCTGAGCCACCCTTTCGGACGGCCAAGTGCAAGCTGCCTCCTCCACTGGGCGGCCAGCCCCAGCTGAGGGAGAGCGGGGACACTCCCTCAGGGGTGTCCAAAACTGGTTTGAAATGGTGCACGTGAGGGAGTAGGGGGATAGAGGATAAAGGGATTTTATGCTGGAGGAGATAACTTCTGCACTTGGAATGTTCCAGCTCTTTGCCTCTATCTCCCCTGGCAGAAGGCTGTTGCCGGCATGGGCAGAGCTGGACTCCCCTGAGCTGCGCTTAGCCATGTCCTGCTCTGGGCCCTGAGTCCCCCCCTCCCAGGCCGTGTGTCCTGGGCTCTCTCCCCGAGCCCTGCGGCTGCAGAGATGGAAAGTCCAGGCCTGGGCCCTGAGCAGGAGAAAGCCCCTCCTTTGCCGTGGGAAGGGTGGCTCGCAGCACACACCTGACTCCCACCCGCTTCACATCGCTCAGCTGCTTGGAGAGTGAAGGTTACAGAGCGCTGTCCACAGATCAGCCTCTTTGCAGGGCCAAGGCGCCCTTCCTAGGCGGGGAGGGCAGGGGGAGCACAGGTGGAACCCAGAGAGGCTGACCGAGAACACAGAGGGGCCAGGGTGGCAGGGCACGCCCAGGTGCCGTGCCTCCTCCTTGGGTCTGGAGCAGCTTCCAAGGTGCCTTGTGGGAAATGCATCATGGGGTCTTCACTCAGCGTGCACCCCTACGGGTGCTGGACCCCCGGGGTCTGGGAGATGGGGGACACAGGAACATACCTTTTGCAAACCAAGCCAGGAAGCCCTTAACCGCCACCCACAGGTACAATCACACAGGGACACAGTTCTTTGAAATTAAGAAGAGCAGACCTCTGACAGGGTGAGTATGGGGTACGCCTTGTCCCTCTGCACTAAACCTAAGTGTAACCCTGCCTTGGGAGCCTCTGTGTGGAAGCTTATAAGGCAGACAGGACTCCCCAGGGAGCCCGCCAGCAGGGGCCGTAAGGCTGTCAGAGGGCACTGTGAATGAGATCAACAACCAGGTCCCCCGGTGGTAAAGAACCCTGGCGTCCACACTGAGCTGGCAGGTGGCAGGCAGCCCCCAGCTTGCCTTGGTGCTGGTATCAGGTGGTGCCAGGTAGATGGCCTGTATTTGTGCCTCCAGCCTATTTTCTTTTGCAATGATGGGTGGGCCTAACAGGTGAGACCCAGCCCCCTTCTCTCTGTTCCCTGCCTGTGCACCGCCGCGGCAAGGAAGCTGTGCATTACCCCATTTGCTTATTGGACTGGCTTCTGGTCATACAGTACACAACCCAGGTCTGATCACCAGGGGTCCCCCTAGAGAGAATACCCATTTCTCTGGTCCCATTCCACCACCCAAGGGTTCTGTGAACCCTGGAATGCCCTGAAGAAGCCTTCAGGGAAGGGGAGAGTGAACCCTGAATGACATGGTGGATCTAGGGGCCCAGTCCTATACCACCCACAGTCTGAAAACCCTGTATTTTACATAGTAGTGTGAATTTTGCCTCTGGCGCCACATGCAGTCCATGTTTATGTGCTTCTGGAAAACTGTTTTAGTGGGGAGTTAGCTAAAAAGCCCCTCCCTGGTGTAGTCCAAGGTCTCTAACCCCAACTTTGCCCTGGCTGTCCTGTGGCTGCTGTGTGCTGGGCTCTAGCTTTGGCCCCACTGGGATGGAAGAGTCTGGTACCCTCCTGGGCAAGGCCACTGGCCAGGCTATAGGCTCGGGCCAGGGTCAGTGTCAGGTGAGGAGGGAGGAACCTGGCTTCAAGGACAGGCTGTCTTAAAGTGGCCTGAATTCCAAGTTCAGGAGCAGGCTAGGGAGTCTCTGGGCAGTGACTAACTGCCCGAGGTCCCATGTCTGAGGCCCTGGGCAGCTGGCCAGCTGTGGGGGAGCCGTTGCAATCAATTAAAAGCTCTTTGGAGAAGCCACAGTTGGGTCAGGGGTCCACTGTGCGCCAGAAGGGATGAGCTCAGTGCCGAGGCCCCGGCAGCCTTGGCTGGCTGCCTCCCATGGCGAAGCCGGAGGTGGTCAAAGACCTCTGGTGCCTGCCCTTCCCCGAGAGGTCTTTGGGGTAGAGCCTGGGGAAGGAGAGAGGGGTGGAAGTGAAAGAAGGGGAGCGGGAAGGGCTCTCCTTCCTTAACTTCAGTACCTGCTTCTTCTCCCACCTCCTTAAACTCCCAGTGGGGTGCCCCCACCCACCCAGGTGCTTCCTTCACTGAAGCAGCTGGAAGGGGGTGGGGAGGCCTCTGTCCTAGCATTTCTGGCCTCCCCTCCCCCACGCTTCTGCTGGATCTTTCCTCATGCTCTGCCTCCCTTCCCCCAGACTGATGGACCTGGCCAAGGAAATGACCAAAGAGGCTCTGCCGATCAAATGCCTGGAAGCCGTGATCCTGGGAATGTATCCTTCCTGGCCTTGGGGGGGGCGGGTCAGAGAGAGGCCCCCTGGGCCCAGCTTCCTCCTCTGGAAGGGGAGGATTGATTAAAGGCCCTCCTAGCTTCCTACTAGATTCCTGGGTTTGGCTCCAAAGTGAAGACACTTGCGGGGGCTCAGTCCTACCCCCCAACTCAGTCGCTAGCTCCCGGGTCCCCTCTTTGAGCCCGGTGGACACAGGGACCTTGTTCTCTGAACCCTAAATCAGGACACACTGTCTCACGAAAGCTATTGTGCCACTTCCAGAGCTAGAGCCCGGGAGAGCAGGTTGGATGCCCAAGTGCCAGCATCTCCAGGCACGTTGATTTGTGGGGGCTGCTGGATGGGATCTTTGGGACAGAACTCAGCACTGCCTTTAAAAAAAGTGCAGAGTTTCTCAGTCACCTCCACCTGAAAGCCAGCCCTGGGGCCTTCATCAGGGCCACCAGGCCAGATCAGGAGGTAGAGCAGGGTCCGAGGCCTCTGAGGGCTCTCTCTCCCAGAGAGGGCGACTCTCCCCCGGGGTGGGCGACTCTCCCGAGCATCAGGCCACCCGGTCGTCCTCCCCTGGCTGGCCCGTGCCTTCTCCTGGCGTTTCCTTAGCTGGGGTGGCGCCGCCAGTTACCTCACCAACAGCATGCCCACCCTGGAACGCTTCCCCATCAGCTTCAAGACCTACTTCTCAGGGAACTACTTCCGCCACATTGTGCTGGGGGTGAACTTCGGGGGCCGCTACGGGGCCTTGGGCATGAGCCGGCGGGAGGACCTGATGTATAAGCCGCCCGCCTTCCGCACGCTCAGTGAGCTGGTGCTGGACTACGAGGCCGCCTACAGCCGCTGCTGGCACGTGCTGAAGAAGGTGAAGCTGGGCCAGTGTGTGTCCCACGACCCGCACAGTGTGGAGCAGATCGAGTGGAAGCACTCGGTGCTGGACGTGGGCAGGCTGGGCCGCGAGGACTTCCGCAAGGAGCTGGAGCGCCACGCCCGGGACATGAGGCTCAAGGTCAGTCTGGACGCCGTCCCGCCCGCAGGGGTCCACACGCGGCCCTTGGAGGACCACATGTTGACGTGAAAGAACGGCCTCTTCCTGGTGGGCCAGCTGGCAGGGGATGTCCCCTGCCCCCTCCTTGGCACCCCAGCCCAGCGGAGTAGGCGTGGGGGGTCAAGGGAGAGGCGGTCCTTTTGGAGCCTGGGCTTTGCTGTGGTCACTGTTACTGAGAGAGTCCCCTCAGGTGGGCAGGCCAAGGCCCCAGAAGGAAGTGGGCTGGTTGGGGTTGTGGGCAGGCCTTGGAGCAGGGCCGGGGCGCAGCACTGGGGGGACAGGACTTGTTGGAAAGAACCACCATGGGAAACTAGCCCGTCTGGGGGGGTGGGTGGAGTGGGGAAGAAACAGGTGTATCCTGGCTCTTGACTCCCTGATACTCCGCTTCCAATAAAGGACCAGGAACCTCGGGGAGGGCCAGGGCTTTCAGGCCCAGAGCAGGTGGGCTGGGCCACTGAATTTGCCCCTCAGCCTCACAGTGGGCAGAAGCGTAGCCTTTCCCGGGACCTCCCCATGGAGAACGAGTCTCCCCTCTGGGTGAGGCAGGATGTTCACTCCTCCCCACTGCTCAGCCGTGGCTGCGCTGTGAGTCTGCCCCTCCAGCAGCCCCGGGCCACTGCCCTGAACGTGGCATTTGATGCCTGCCGTTGCCCCCTCCCCACAGCCCTGGAGGCTGGCGGGCAGTAGCTAGAGGCTCTGCTTTCTGGGTAGGAAGCTCTGAAGGCATACACGGGGTGGGGAGCCCACTCACTCAGAGGCAGCGAGGTGGGACTGCAGCTGTCTCAGGATGGGGAGCCTGGCATGTCGCAGGTGCCAGGAGAGCCCAGGGGGCATGTAAGAACTCAGGCCAGACCCTGTGGGGTGGCAGCCCCTGCCCCTGGAGCAGAGCAGACCACCGCTGACCTGGCTACTCTCTCCAGTTCCTGCACCGCTCCTCTGCAGAGGCAGCCTGGGCAGCGGCCCATGCCCGGCTCCTGTTGGAGTGTTCCCTGGTCTCCCCGGGAACATGCTGGAGCTGAAGTTAGAGGCAGTGGTTCCCTGTCTTTAGCCCTGTGATTCCAGCCTGTGGTCTGCTGAGGACTCCCCGTGTTTTTGCTGCTCTCCAGTACCCCAATGTGACCCATGTTTCAAAAATTCAGGTCCAGCTGACCATGCCTTCTAAAAGGTGGTTCAATTGCTTTTCCCATTTTTCTTAATCAGAGCTGGAACTACCAGCCTGAGCTGCTGCCTGGCGTGAGATGACCAGCACCACCCATCAATGCTGGATCCCGGCCTGAGCGCAGACATAGCTGCTTCCCCTGGTCGCACTTGGCATTAGAGTAAATGGCCCTTTTCTTGAAAACTTCCTACAGCATCACTAACACTCTGACTTCTCCCATGTCCACGCTATTTCAGGGGCTGCCAAGCCCGGGGCACTTCTGCCGGGGCCCCTTTCCTGGCAGTGTTAGTGCCCAGAGAGCAGGTTTGAAGACAGGGTATAACTTCGCTCACGGCTTCCTGGACCCTGCCCCGGGCAGCCTCAGGGCCTTGGCACCTCAGGGCACAGGGGACTCCTGGCAGCCCGGGAGTGAGCCTTCATTTCTTTCTTCCCAACAAGATTGGCAAAGGGACTGGCCCTCCGTCCCCCACCAAGGACCGGAAGAAGGACGTTTCCTCCCCACAGAGGGGCCAGTCGAGCCCCCACCGCAGGAACAGCCGCAGCGAAAGGAGGTGAGGGATGGGGTCACATGTAGGGCCTGGAAGCTTTCTCCCTTTGCCCTCTTCTTCCAGATCCTGCTTATTTTTCACCCTGCCCTCATAACCACCTTCCTCCTCTCTTCTGCCCACCCCCCACCCCCACCAATCCCCCGCTCCGGTGTGACTGGGGGGTGGGTTTGTGTGCAGACAGGGCTCACCTGGCCAGAGAGAACCCTGACTGGCCTTGACTGGCCTGGGTTGCTCAGTGTGGGGTCCTGGTGGCCAGCAAGGGGCCTATACAGTGGCAGGACAGGCTCTGTGACTTGGGGGGTTGAGGGAGAACCCTGCAGACTCCAAGTTCTCCCAGAATATCCATGGTTGGAACAAGCCCAGCAGAAGGCAACTGCTTTGAACCTAACTTGTCCCCCCATCACCCCCGCCACCATGAGCCTGTGGGTTTGGCTCTATCTACATGGCAGAAACTCCCCATCAAACACCAGGCCTTCTCCTCCTCTGATTTGTCACCTGCAAGTCATTTTGGCCCTTGTTTTAATAGCCTGTTATTCAGGAAGCCACCTCTCTGATATGAGTGAGGGCTCCAAGATAGCCAGCATCGTTCGCTCAGACCCAGGACGCTGGCATAGGCCAGAGATTCCTCTGGAAGAGACTTGCAGGTTAACCTATTACCTGTGACCAAGTTAGCAGACCCGCAGCCAAGAGCAAGGGTCTATAAGCAAGGGGGGACAAGCAGGTCAGGATTTCTAGAAACTTCCACCCTACTGTTCTCCACTGTATACTCTGGCTTTGCATGTGCGGCACCTTAGAGAATGGGGCAGGGTCCCCATGGGTGGCAGGACCACCCCTGACCCCTCACTCTTCCCTCCTCTCTGCTCTCTCCTCCCTCCAGGCCTTCGGGTGAGAAGAAACCTGCAGACCCCAAAGCCATGCCAGACCTCAATGGGTACCAGATCCGGGTGTGAGGTGGTGACTGCTCCCCAGCCTTGCCACTTCTGGGGGCCGTGATCCACTGCCAGAATCAGGCTTGCTCCCTTGGGGGCGGAAGGGGCTGGTGATGGGACAGGGCACGGACGAGGCGCAAGGGGAAGAGTGTACCCCAGCTCATCCACCCAAGCTGCTGCCCCTCCCACTGAGCCACACCCCTAACTTTGGATGGAGAGGCAGTATTTTATTTGGAGTTTGAAAACTCAACAACTGAAGTTTAAGTTATTTGGGAAGAAATGAAAACTAGCAGCTTTCCCAACGGCTGAAAGGCCAAGAGCGGAGAGACCCAAGTGCCAGGGGCTGGTGTACAGGGGCTGCTGGCTCTGCGGGCTTGGGGTCTACCCCGTGGGGAACCTCCTGATCCCATCGGGCCTGTGGCAGGCCTGGAGCTGGATTAGGGGAGGGATGGAGATTTCCCCTGTTCTGCCTGCCGCGCAGACTTTTGACCTCGGGAAAGGGAAGCAGGGTTGGGGTTGTCCTGGGCGGACGTACATAGCCCTTGGCACAGCTCTGGCCCCCAGAGGGCATGTCCAGGGCCTAGGAGAGGACTCAGGCCCCAGCAGCCCATGAACACTGCTGTGTGGGCCTATTAGTGTGGCACTGAGCAAGAGTGAGCTGGAAGTGGCCCAGGAGCGGCCCTCTGGGGAAAGTTCCAGCTGGGTCTCCTGCTCAGCCCAGCTCCACTGACTGACGCCAGGGCCCCCCCTGCAGAGGGGCTGCTCTTCGCTAAGGGGTCAGCATGCTGGGAACCTGGTGTGTGGCAGGAACCATGGCTGGCGAGCCGATGGACACTGAGGCCTGGGTCCTTCCCCCAGCAGTGCCCAGCGGTGAGCACTGTTGGCTCCCTGCTCCTGCCTCTGTACCCCCTCCAAGCTACTGCTGAGGAACTGAAGACCGGGCCCCGGGCGCTTGTTCCCAGACCCACTGTCCCTCCTTTAGCATCCAGCTACGTTTGGGGCCCTCGTGATGATCAGATACGTTGTATGTGGCGGCTCCTCAGAGAAGCATCTGAACAGCTTAAGTCTCCATAGCCTGCCTGGCAGGGAAGTGAGAGGCTGCAGACAGAAAGTGGTAGAGTGGAGGGAAGGCGCCGGAGGCTCGAGCAACAAGGAATTGTAAGGCAGGGGTGCAGTGTGGCCACTGAGCAGCAGCAGAGCCCAAACGGGGGGTGTAAGTGAGGAAGGGATGTGGGGGAGAGCTTAGATCCGGCTGCCTGGGGAGCAGGGCGCTCCCTACCACGCAGGTAGTCAAGCACAAGTGGTAACTTGCCGGGAGGGACAGAGAGGATTCAGGTGGGAAGAGCAGCTGCAGATGACCCCTACGGCTTCTCAGCTGCAGATGACCCCTACGGCTTCTCAGCTGCAGATGACCCCTACGGCTTCTCTTCGGGAGAGGCTGATTCAGCCAGAGGCAGCTGTGAGTGAGGCTGCAGAGGGGCTGGGTGCCTGGAAGAGGGGCGGTCACAGCTCAGAATTTCAACTCAAGTGCTACAGGAGTAAGGAGGGCTGCAGGGCTGGGTGGGGCCTGTGGTGAGCGAAAGGGGGCATGCCCCGTTATTCGAGGGGCCTCTGCTGCTCCCCGGGCTCACAGTGCAGGCCCTGCACTGCCAGATAGTCTGATGATTATCAAAGACCAGAACCCTGAGCTTTTAGGTGAGACATGCTGATGTCCAGATGTTAGCAGCCATCAGTTCAGAGAACTTAAAAACCCATACAGGTGAAAAGAGAATGTGAGTGTATCATCTTGGAGGTAGAGCTTGTGCTGGGAAGAACTTCGCAGAACGGCTTTGAGATGGAAAGTAGGAAAGTCCCAGGCTTCCCTGAGCAGGCTGGGCCAGGCAGGTCCTCACTGCCACTGCCCTGTTCATGCCATCCCTTCCCTTAGAGACAAGAGGTGCCCTGGGGCCGCTGTGCCACCAGAGAGGATGGCAGGGGGCAGAAATGGCGCAGTTCTCAGCTTGCCAGGGAGATGGATGGTGCAGGAAGCTGAGAAAGTGGGAGTAGGAAGGGACCCAGGGCGCCTTTGCCAGTGCCCGTGCCCACCAGCGAAGGCCTCAGGGACTGGCAGCTCGTCAAACCAGCAGCGAGGCCAGCTGCTCAGCGCCTTGCCTCACCAGGTTCCTCAATGATCCTGGAGAAACCTAACCTGCCCTCCCCCGGGCTACGCCTGGCCACACCAACCTGACGGGCAGTGACCCCGACTCACCCACCATCCCAGCCTTCGGGTAGCGAGGATGGTGGTCCCTGGCTGGCAGCAATGGCTCACATTGGGGGGTGGGGTATGAGGCAGAGGAGGAGGCCTTCTTTGAGTCTGGGGTAAGTTCCTCATGAAGACTGCAGGGGTGTTCCCTGAGAACCCCTGTGTATGGCAGGGCTTGAGGGAAAGAGAAGAGGCACTGGAACTGGGTAGGGAGACACCGGGAAGCTCTCTGGTAGGGGAGTCCTAGTAGGATGCTCCCAGACGGCTCCCCCTCCCCAGCCCACAGAGGAGACAGAAGGAAGCTCCAACCCCTTCTGCGCTGGGCTGATAACCCAGCACTCCCCTTAGCTGAGACACCACCACCAGGCAGCGGTGCTTTTTAATTTATTTTTAACTTTCTCATATGTAGCAACCCCTCCTCCCTCCTGGCCGTGTTTACACGGGCTCTGCTCCCTGGGGCTGGCCTGGCTGCAGAGTTTCTGGGGGGGGGAGCTGGTCAGGGACTTCGGGGCCTTAGTAACCATCCTCGCTATCACCTCATCTTCCTGTGCGTGGGGGGGCTGGCTCCCTGACTGGGACTGCCTTCTAGCGGTTCAGTTGGGTTCCTCTGCCCCCAGGGATGGGGGCTGCTGGCTGCGCCAGGGTCCAGGTGAGGTAAGAGAAAGCCATCCATGATCGCAGGGTCCCCCCCCAAAAGCCTGGCCCTTGGTGTGTGGGGTCCCGAACACTGGGACGCTGAGCGGAACCTACCTACCCCTCCGCCCGCCAGCCTTAGCCCTCCCACGTGATGTCTACACACCACTGGTTCCCCTACCTGTCCTGCCTGGGCGTGGCCAAGTGGGGGGGCGCAGCAGCTCAGCTGTGGGGTGCCATGATGCCGAGGGTCTGAGGAGCCCAGGGGCCATGTCTGTCATCTCATACCTGAACTTTCAGCGTGGACTTGACTTCTTGGCTCTGGAACAGTCTCACTCCGGCTGATCTTGGGCTGGTGGGCTCCTAGTTTTGCCTGGAACGTCCGCTGGCTTAGTGTGGCACTGCCCCAGGCCCCCCCTCTGGCCTCCGAGTGCAGGGAGGTGAGTGCTGGGCCCAGCACACTAACTCAGTCGTGCGCTAGAGCTCACCTGCGTTAAGTCTCTACTTCCCTTGTTCCCATGAGAAACCGGTGTGAGGGGCAGGGAGCGGCCCCTGAGGAGACTGCCCCAGGCACTGCAGGCCCACGGGTGCTAGCCGCAGGCCCGTCAGTATTGCCCCCTCACCATCCTGGTGCCCGAGTCCCAAGTCTCCCTTTTTCTTCTTCTGAGGAGGGAGAAGGCTGGTGTGCATGACCTGTGGAGCCCGTAATGATGGGCTGCCCCCCCCCGCCCCAGCTCTGGGTGTGCTGGACTGTTCTCCTGTCAGTATTGTCCTTCCCTTTCACGTGCACACTCGTCTCATTCCTGTTCTCATTTTCTCCCCCCGAAGTGAATAAAGTCTCCGCAGCTCTGGCTGTGTGGGCTGAGCAGTCACGTGTAAGCCTGTTTCCTTTCCCTGGGGCTGGGGCCAAGCCCACACTGCCTGCCCGCCAGCACCAGCCTGACGGGCAGGGGAGTGGGGCGGTGAGCCCAGCAGTCGTCATGGCATTTCTGAGGCCCTAGACCACCCTTCAGCCCGCTGACGCCACCGGGCTCTTGTTCTCCCTCATCTGGAGCAGCTCTTCCCTGCTGGCCGTGGTGAGCCCTGTCCGCTCCCAGCGCCAGCTGGAGTCCGCTTCCAGGCTGCGTTCCAGAGCCTGCTCTCTGGTCCCAGTCCCCAGCTGTCCATCAGGGCAGAGGAGAAAGGCCCAGTGTTCTCCTGGGAGATGCCCTAGCAACAAGAGTCTGAAGTCCCTTCTCGTGCAGTTGCCGGTTCAGAATCATTGGTGGCTACAGAGCGGGCCCTGGGAAACCCCAGTGCTCCCCCGCACCTGCTTTCCTCCTCGGCTGTCTGTCTGGGCCTCTTCCTGTGCTCCAAAGCAAACTCAAACAGCTGCAGCCGGGCTTGCACATGTTTTTCACCTCTCATGCTCCCTCCCTGCTGTGCTCTCCCACCCCTCAGCTTAAGAGGAAAACTCTGGATCTGAGAGGAGACCAAACTCGCACAGTGAGAGCAGCCAGCGCTCCTCCTTGGTCCTTGGCAGTGTGGTGGTGGAGGACGGGAAGGGGAGGGCAGGAGGGCAGAGGGGAGCGGCAGGGTCATCCTTTGAAGTCCATGACCATCTTGGAATATGCACCACTAAGTAGAGGCAGTTTAGTTATTTACAGGCTCACTTTGCCCTAGCTTAAACGCTACCAAAAGAAGGGCCTTTCAAGGTAACCAGGATTTGTGACTAACTCAGGCTGTACACCTTTAGGCAAGGTGGTATTTTGGTTTTTGGTGTTTTTTTTTGTTTGTTTGTTTGTTTTATAAATAGTTGTTTATTTTTACATCATTTTGTGCATTTTTCCATCTCAGTTGTAACCCCCTTGGCCTTCCCATCACCAAATTACCCATGTATCATCACCATAGAAGGTGGTGGTGGTGTTTTTTTTTTTTAAGATTTATTTATGCATACAAGACCTGGGGTATAGGCCAGAGATGTGAGGGTGAGAGGATTCACCAGAGACAGAGTGGGGAGCAGATCAGGCAGGTGGACTGAAATACACTGCTGAGGGGAGCAGCGGGAGAGTCGGGAGAGGTCTGCAGCCATGTGTGTCACCTCCCCGTCCAGGGATCAAATTCGTGCTGCAGTGGCTGTTATAGCTTCACAGTGCTGCACTTTAACCTGTTGTGGCTGCCCAGGAGGGCCTTGCCAGGCGATATTTTAACTTACACCAAAAAACCCAACTAACACACCAAGCAAAGGGTGGGGTGGGCGGTTTCCATGAAATGGGCATGAGCGGGGGCCCCAGCTGGCTCTCGTATAAATGAGTGGGGGATGCTGGGGCCACAGTCAGGAGTTAAGCAGCTTCACGTGGACACTTTCTTGGAATTAACACAGAAGTGAGTATCCGACTCCCAGGAGGATCAGCACCCAACTTCCTTGGAGTGGGGGGCCCTCACTCTGGCTGCCCCGTTTCCCTCTGCTTGCAGGATGTGCTGCCTCCCTTTGGCGTCTGACCCTTTTGGGCTGGCCCTCAGGGAACAGGTGGCACTTCCCATAACCCTGCAGAGGAAGAGTGGAGCTCTGCCGTCCCCCTCTGTCAGGGTCCATCATTTTGGCCACTGTAGGCAATAAGTGACAGGAAGGGGCGGCCCTACCGATGTCCAGCTGACTGGCCCAGACCTGGGGTCCTGGCAACCCTGACTATTTGCCTGTGGGGTGACCAGCTGTCGAGACCGGTGGTGTGGAGGTGGTGTGGAGACGGCCACCCCTGGTCACCTGAGGCCAGCAAGCGTGAAAATGTGCACACACACCACCCGAAGCCAGAAAGGACTTGGTGGTGGGAAAGACAAAAGCTCCAGAATTTGAAGTGGAAAGACTCCACAGCTGTATGAGGCCTCAGGCCTTAGAGGCACAGGAACCGACTGGGGATGGGGCAAAGGCAACCTCCTTCAGCACATCAAGTCTACACGAACACCACACCAGCTCTCCTGCGCAAGAGAGGTCTGTGCCTACAGGCTGTCAGTGGCCAGCCCCTACCTGGAACAGTCTGCACATTCACTCAGGCCGAGAGCCAGGCGAGGCCATGTGGTGGACCAGGGAGTCTAGAGATGGAGGGTCACTGCCCAACTCTACACCCCCCACACACTCCCCATGGACACTAGAAGAGGTGGGTCCCTCCTCCTGGGAAAAGTTAAGCCACTCTTGAATCAAATTATGTAACCAATCAAAAAACAATGCTTCGGTTTCATGGCCACACCAGTGTGAGAGCTGGGAGAGAAAACAAAGCCCAGGGGTAGCCTGAGTGGTCCTTCCCTTCTTGGTCTCTAGCTTCAAGCTGCCTCTGCTTCCCTTCCTGGGCTCCCCCGAGGTGTATCTCTCCCCCTATTCCTGGAAAGGCCACAGCGTGAGGCGCTTAGGGCAGCAAGAGATAAAGCAAAGGGGATTCTCAACTCCCCTCTTTCGGTATCTCCTTGCCCTGCTGGAAAACTGTTTGCGAGCCCCTCAGCTACCGCCTCAGTCTACGGTGCTCGGGGGCGGAAGCAGGAGCCCAGTCACTACAGCCAAAGTGTAGCAATGTGGCGGGCCAGGGGCCACCCTGCAGGCCAGGAGAGGGGTCTCTGAGGATACACCTCACAGGTTAGCAGTTCTAGAATAATCCTGGCCCATAGGCCAACTGTCCCACCTGGCTGAGAGAACTACCCACCAAGGCCCTACCAACAGCACTCCAGTATCCAAGGCCCAAACAATGCACACTCAGGCCTGAAAATTCCACACGAGGACAAAAGGTGATTCAATTCCCATTTCACCTGGGCAGGACTAACATACCCAGCTGCCTGTTGAGCAGGCCAGGATGATAAGCAGTGTTCTAAACGCTGGCTAGGATTTTCCTTCCACTGAATCCTAGTCTGGGTGGTTCACCAAAGCATCCACGTCTCTTTAAATGACTCAGATCTTCGGGAACTTACTGGAGGTATGGAGTCCGAGAACCTGCCCAGGTAAGGGGGAAGGCCACCCTGGCTCAGGGCCTCCCGTGGGCACGTGGGCTTGGCAGACCTACTGCAGGGAAGTCTGGAGGAAGACACAACGCCAGCAGAGTGAGGCCTGGAAGGAAAAGAAACCTTTCCAGCAGCAGATGGCCCACAGCTCCGCTCTGGCTCCAGAATGCAAGGGAGAAGATCAGAAATAGATACTCAGCACGCGGCATCTGCCACAGGCATCGCGTCTCATGTGGCTGCCTGGCTCTGCTCAGGAAATGCACATCTCGTCCCACTTCCGGCACAGACCCTGCTGAAATGCAGTGTGGAATGGGGGAGACAGGGCAGCAGATGGAATAAGAATGGAAGCGGCTGACAGAACTGTTCTGCTCCTGCGTGGCAAGGATGGAGACGGGAGCTGCACCCCACAGGCTGGGACAAGGGGTCTGCTCAAGTCCTTTTCCTCCCAGGCCTCACAGCAGTTAACAGCAAAAAGGTCGCAATACCTTGCGACCCCACCCCAGGATCCAAAGCCCCCCAGTCTCTTCCTCTCCGCCCACCTCATTCTCCAGGCACCACCTCCTCAGGCCACTGAGGGTCCTAAGAAAATGATCAAGAGTAGGGGGAAAAGGCAAACCTTTATTTGGAAAAGAGAGCTTAGGTGAGCATTTAAAACCCCATTTCATTTCCAGAACAGAAATAAACATGAAAACAAAGGAAAGATCACCTATCATGCTCCTCCCTCTATCCTCTTCAGCCATTTTAAACTGCATTTCATAGCAGAAGGGGACCAGGATGGACCATCGTCCTCTGAACCGCCAGGACAGTGACTTGACACCATCTCGGGAGGTGCCCAGGGAAGGACAAGAGTCAAGGGTGGGCTGTGGGCAGTGGGCCTGGGGCTCAGACAGGCACATGCCCAGTACCCAGTAAATAATGTTCAAAACCAAAAACGAAAACGCATGCAGAGATAAATTCCCCAGAACCTAGGTGTGGGAAGTTTGTAACCATGAACGCAGCAGCAGAATTCAAGCTGGGTCTTTGGCTTTCAAAAAAAGCAAAAAGCACTAACCTCTGGCTAACTGTCCTTAACTCCAGCCTCTCGCCTATTGCCTTCAGTTCCACTCTGGAGGCCAAGTGGGCGAAGCCAGCCGTGTCTGCAAGGGTCGGCAGCTACCTGAGTTAAGGGAGAGGTGGGGGAGTTGGCCCCAGAACACCCCAGGCCCCATCCCAGCAATGAGAGATTAAGGCATGCGGGTGATACAGTGTGAGCCAGGGAGCCCCGAGGGCTGACGGGGCGGCCCTGCCGTAGGAGAGGCGATGCAGAGGCAATGAACAGCCAAGGTCTTGCTGGCCCGAGCAAATCTGCAAGCTAGGCCACCACAGCCACCTCCAGTCCTCCGACCAGTATGCACAGGGCCACCCCTGCTGGGAACCAGGTGTGGCTGAGCTAAGAGTCAGGCTCTCCTAGGGGAAACAAGGGAGGGAATGGGAGAGGCAGCAAAAAGGAACAAATGGTGGGAAAGAGGCACAGAAAATTGCTGCTCAGGTGTGCAGAAGAGAAACAAGTCCCTGAGGTCTTGAGTCCCAGCTGAAGCAGCTGCACAGCCCACCTGCTCTCACCCCAACCCCTCGGGGCTCCTAACCTCACCCCAGTTTTGTGGGCTGCAGACTGCTGTGAGACAAGAACTTTCTAGAGGTTCTTTCTCCTCATCCTTTAAGAGTTTTGAAGCCTTAAACCATGATCCCAGTCTACAAACTTCTGCTTCCCTAAGGGCAGCCTGGAGAGTGGGCCATGACTTAGAGAAAACATGTCAGGTCTGCAGCGATCTCTGGATGGGAGCCTCAGAGGTTACGGAGGCAGGCAGGGCATCCCCAGATGTGTTCCCCAGACTGTGGGCCCACTCGTCCCCACAGCCCAGATGGGAATATGCCCCGCTGGCATGGTGAGTGCCTAAGGAAACAGGAAAAAAGGAGAGACGGGCCAGCCCCCGGCTGCTGCCTGGCAACACACAACTTCCAGGTCACGCTCTTGGCTGCCTTCTGGCCGACTGTCCCAGTGTGGGAGTGGGCTGGTCAGACGCAGGCCTGGCTATGTGCAGCAGTCGAGCCCTGAGAGGATGCACACATGCTACACACACCTCGTGTGTGTGCCTGGAAAGGGGGTTGGGCCCGGAGGTCACAAGAGGCAAGAAGACTGACTGGGTCAGAACATACTACCAAGAAACAGCCTGAAAGCAAATAACCAATGAGATCAATAGCTCCCGCAACCCTGGTAATTAAAAATCAAGGGGGAGCACTGGATACATGGAAGAAGGGGAAGCCCCTTGTTCAGCCTCTCCCAAGACCACTGAATACGTGGCACAGGATCAGGAAGAGGTGGGGGTGGGCAGGGACCACAGGCAGAGCACGTGGACAGGCCTGGAGAGTATCTAACCATGGGGAAGGGACGAGGAGGGAGAGGGGTGGGGACATAAGTTCCTTGGATCTAAGCTTCCAGAAGCATTGGATATTTCCACAGTCTCTGATCCAGTGAGCTCACTCTTCTGGAAGAGAAGCTCTCTTCCCCTGGAAGCTGTCATGGGGCAGTGACTTCCATCCCGAAGCTGGCCAGCAGGCAGAGGTGGTCTGAAGAGCAGAAGGGGTTGGGTAAGCCATTGGCAGCCCAGAGAATCTCTTCAGAGAGGAGGGAGAGACGGCCCAGGAGCTTGAGAGTTCCATCTTGACACAGCCTGCGATCTGGGGCACAAAGCAGATGCCAGTGGTATAGTAGCCACAGCCGCCTGCACAGAGGAGGTGGGGCTTCTGGCAACCCTGCCTATGGCGGCACCTCCTTGGCGGCCCCCACCCCCAACTGAGGCCCCCTTGTCTCAAGATACTCCTGATTCATTAGTGAATGAAGCAGGGTGGATCAGTGGGGCTGAATTGCAAACTCAAGAGCATCAGCCCAGACCCAGCATCACAACATCTTCTCATTTGCCAAGAGCAGCTAGAAATCCAGATTTTTCTATATAAAACCTGACCTTTCAGCACAGAAAATCAAGTCAAATATTTTTAAAAGCATTCTTTAAGCAAAGCAGGCATAGGCTGGTCGACTCCCACACTACGCCTACTGGTAGAAGGCCAGGAAACAGGAAATAGGGACTCTAACCTAACCCAGTCTCTACTTCATGGGCTTCCACTCCAAATTCAATCACCTCCTGGGGCTACAGTTTTACCTCCAAAATAAGGATGAAGACTGCAACAACCACCTCCCCCCAAACCACCCCAACACACACACACACACACACACACACACACACACACACACACACACACACACTTCTCTAGTGCTGCACTGGTAAGAGAAGGCAGGTACTGGCCTGCTGACCAAGGCCTGCTAGGCATAAAACAAATGCCTGCTGCCCGAGCAGCCCAAGCCCTGCCACCCAATGCCCGATAAGCTGACCCCAGGAACCCAGGACTGACCAGGCTGACCAGTTCTGTTCCCATTCTCAAAGGACTCAGCTGAGAAGAAGATGTAATCCACTGTTGTTCCAAGACCCAAGGGCATAGTGGTGACCTCGGGGCGGCCATGCTGGGGCAGGAAATGGGTATATACGGAGGTCAAATGGAGGCAGTGCTGGATGGTGCCCACGGTCCTACAGGAATGAAGAAGAAGATGTCAGTCAACAAATATCACATTGCCCAAGGCCACTTTCTCTGGGGACTTAATGAAGTATTTTGAAGGGATGATCCCAAGTAACTCAGACTCAGCAAATTCCTTCTCATAAGAAGCTGACAGTCTTAACCTAATCTAGAAACAGACAGATTTATAGTCAGCCCCCCTACTATTCCCATCCTCCCCCATACTCTCCTCTTACTACCTGGTGACGTACAGCTAATGTGCCCACCCCTCGTCAGCAACCTCTTCCGTGAGGCCACACCTTCTAGGGAAAGAGAGCAGGACAGCTCATCTGCAAGAACCTAAGTGGGTCAGCCCTGGTCTCTGTGCATGTAAGTCCTTCCATAGCTTAGAAGGTATTAGAGAGACCTTGGTCAAAAGTGCTCCCCCAGTCAACCTCAGGAAAGCCAATGGGAATTTCCCTCAGGGGCTGACATGCAAGCTGAAGGGCACTGGGAGGAACATTACCTGGGGAAGACGGGCTCAGGCTCAGATGTGTCTTCCTCAAGGACAGACTCAGCCCAGCCAACAGGTGGCTCTGGTGGAGAGAAGAAAGGGGCTTGGCATTCACAGACCGTGAAGCAGGGAGCAACCTTGCACCATGAAACCCCCTTGGATCCCAGCATGGATTGCGCCAGAAGGGAAAAGAGAAAGAGAAAAGATGAAGGGAGGAAAGAAAGCCATGACCCAAAGTGAGGCGCCTCAAGAAGGCAGCTATTCAGGGGCCTCCAAACTCATGGTCTGCCTTAGCTCAGCGCCTTTCCTAAGCTTGTTTTCAGAACAGGAAATACAAGCATACAGCACAATAATAAATGTAGAGAAGACACCCCTCCCTCCCCCTCTGGGGCCCCTGCCACACGTCTCCTGCCCGGGAACTACCCATGTTGCCAGATCCCTGATGTGCCCTTCTCGGTTCCCTATCACACAGCACCTGAGTGTGTGTCTACCTGTGCCCACACCTAACTACATATACACACATACACACGGGACTAGAGTGACGGCTATGGGTGCTCTGGTGCTGGGAGAACTGTGGCGCCCGGAGCTGAGGGGAGAAATCATGTACTGTCCAAAAATTAACAATAATATAAGAAAAAAGTACCAAAATGAAAAATATTTATATAGTTTACATTTTCTTGTCAATATATTTATTACTGTTTTTCTTTTGGTTGTTATTAGGTCTATTTTCACTATCCCTTCGTAAAAGTATAGTTTTCCCTGGTGGCGCAGCACTGCACTAAAAAGTTTAAGCCACTTCTGCATGAGTTCGATCCCCGCCTGCCCCGGAGGAGTCCACATGGCGAGGCAGACCTCTCCTGACCCGCCCGCTGCTCCCCTCAGCAGTGTACTTTTGTTGATCTGCCTGCTCTGATCCCCACTCTGTCGCTGGTGAATCCTCTCACCCTCCGCATCTCTGGCCTGTATACCCCAGTTCTGTATGAATAAATAAATAAATATTTTTTTAAAAAAAGTACAATTTCATGTATGAAAATATGTATCTATATAGAATTGATATCCACATATTAATTTTGCACCCAACTACTTTTTCAGAATTATCTTAACACTCAGAATAGCTTTTACTTGATTCTCTTGGATGAACAGTTATATCACAATGTTAGCAACAAGGACAGACTAACCCCTTCTTTCCATTTTTACTTCTATATTCTTACCTGTATTTCTATTTTCCATTTCTAATTTGTTAGGTGGTATTTCTGAACATAGGTAAAAGACAGTGGTCATCCTGCTATTGTTCAGAAATGTCATACAGCATTTAGTTTAAGCAAGATGCTGATTTCTGAAGCTGAGATAAACGTATATATTTTTTTAAGATTTATTTATGCATAGAAGAAGTGGGATAAAGGCAAGAGAGGTAGGGGTAAGAGGATTCCCCAGAGACAAGAGGGGAGCAGAACAGGCAGACTGACTGAAACACACTGCTGAGGGGGAGCAGCCGGTGAGACAGGAGAGTTCTGCTACGGCCATGTGGGTCAGCCCCCTGGCCAGGGATTGAACTTGTGCTGCAGTGGCTTAGTGCTGAGACTTAACCCCTTGTGCCTACAGGGAGGTCCCTGCAATACATGTATCTTAATGATGTGTGCAGTTATCTGTTTTTTTTCTTAATTAAAAAAAATAGATTCTCAAAAAATGTTCTTCTCAAAGGAACCTAGATGATAAATTTTAACAAATTTTCTTCAACATTAAAAGATAGTATATTTTATATTTTAATAGACTTCATATATATATTAGCATGATAAATTATATTATTTATCCCAAGATCAAACTATCCTTATAGTCCCAATAAACTACATTTGGTCCTGGTATATGACCTGCTAGATTCTATTCTTGATCCTCTATTTAAAATTTTTTGTATCAACAGATGGTAAATGGATAACCTTAAGTGGACAGTATTAGAGTCTGTAAGTCTTTTTCTGTTGACTCTTAAATGTTGGTGTCAATGTAACTGTTTGAGAAAATAACCTGACTCCTTTCTTCTTTTGTAAACTATAACAATTTAAATAGTAACAGAATTAGAGGTTCTTAAAAGGCTTGATGACATTCTCGTGAGCCTGGTATTTTTGAGGAACTGCATCTTTAAAACCTTTTTCTAATTTTTTCCATGATAGTCTCTTTAAATGATCCCTCTCTCCTGCAATAAGTTTTAGTAAATTGCACTTGCTAAAATTAACATGTCATCTATATTTTCAAATTTTGCACTTAGTTGAGCAAAGAATCCCCTTCTAATCCTATGAATTCTCTGTATCCAGATACTTAACTCCTCACCCCCACTTTTATATTGGCTAACTAGGGAGGTTAACTAACTGACATCTGTTTTCTGTCTAAACAACCAACCTTATATTTATAATAATTGTATTTACTTTTTTAAAATAGATTTGTTTACATACTTATGCATACAAGAACTGAGGTGCAGGCCAGAGCTTCAGGGGGTGAGAGGAGTCATCACACACAGATAGGGAGGAGGACAGGCAGATATACTGAAATACACCGCTAAGGGGAGCAGCGGGGAGACAGGAGAGGTCTGCTGGGCCATGGGGGTCCATTCCCGGGCGTGGAACTCAGGCTATATCCCTGACACAGCTAAGACTGTAATTAACCTCCAGGCCAACAGGGAGGCCCACTATTGTATTTCTGTTCTTAAAATTATCTCCATTTTCATTTTCCTTCCTTCTGTTTTCTTCTAGTTTGTTCTTTTCTTCTTATGTAAGAAAGCTGGAGAATTAATGCATATCCAGCTTTTTTCATCATTAATAAAATTTTGATTCTGTAATAAATATTCCCTAGAATTATATAAATTTTTCACTGCACACTGTTTTGGCTATATCCCACAAATATATGGTATTTTCATCATTTTCCAGAAATCCTGAAATTCCAGTATAAATTTTCTCTTTAACCTAAAAGGTTGAATTTTCTTAAATGTCCAGATGAGAGTTTCCTTTTTGTTTTTACTCCTGTTGGAACTGTGAGTGTGTTCAGAGAAAGATGACTATACTACTACTTCTTTTTGAAACTTACTGAGGTCATTTGTGGTGGTCTAATACATGGCCAGTTCTTAAGAATACTTAAAAAGTATCTGTTTCTTGTTTGGAGGTTCCTCAAACTGCTAAACATGGAGCTTCCCTACAACCCAGCAATCCCACTCCTAGGTATCTACCCAAAAGATACAAAAACACTGATTGAAAAAGATACCTGCACCCTCATGTTTATTGCTGCATTATTTACAATTGGAAAGACATGGAAACAGCCCAAATGCCCAAAAGTGGGTGACTGGATTAAAAAGATGTGGTACATATACACAATGGAATATTACTCAGCAACCAAAAAAAAGAAACACATGTCCTTTGCAGTAACATGGATGGAGCTGGAAAAGATCATGGTTAGTGAAATAAGCCAGAAAGAAAAGGAAAAATACCAAATGGTTTCACTAATAGCAGGAGTATAACGGACCAGGCAAGAAAATAAAAATAATAATAATGAACAGTTATATACCAGAGACAATTTATGGGGGTGGAATGGGGAATGGGATCAAAAACAGTGGGGGAAGGGAAATGCACTGGACTGGTGATGGCACATGAGTGATTTGGTGATGGGAAGCCCAAGGGGATTGCAACTGAGATGGAAAAATGCACAAAATGATGTAAAAATAAACTATTACATTATTTAAAAAAAAAAGTGTCTGTTTCTGCTCTGTTCTCTGTGTTTACAATCTGCTGTAGTGATTTACCATCACATTTATCAGGACATCTTCCACAAGTCTTCTCTATTTTGGGTTATGTTTTATCCACCTGATCTGCTGTGGATGAGGAAGATGAATTAAAGCCTTACTTTCTGCGACCCTCATTCTATCCTGCAGTTTCACTTTGGGACTGGTATGTGGTGTTATTTGGAGATGCACATTCAAAATATGAATATCTTTATCAGAAAAACCATGGGTCGTGACCCAACAGGATATTAAAAATGGTTTCCTTCGATACCAGGTTCCACCTACACAGCACTGTGTAGCAACAGCGTTGGGCAGTGACCCGGGACTCAAGGGCTCCCCGACGGAGCAGGGACCAAGCAGGCCTGAGCATCAGCTAGCTGAGTGCATCCTCTCCTGGGCCAGTCTGACCCTGGCAGCAGCTAAACAAGCACTTCTGCAAGAGAAGTTGAATTCAGAACTTTCCTGCTTAAAGCACCAGTCAAACAGCTTTTACTCTGTGGCCAGTTTGTAAACAGTAGTTTTACAAAAATCACGTAGGAGTCATTTTTGCCCAGTAATACACTTATTTGAGCATAAGATTTGTTCTTACTGGTTAAGACCTGAAGTTCCAGAGTTCCATGTAAATACACAGTGCTCACGAGAAAGAGAACACAATAACCCCTACCAGTGTCTTCACAAACCATACTGGAAAGAAGAAATCATTAATGATTGAAAATATGAGCAAGAGAGGGTCTGGGAGCTGGGGAGTGAGAGTCACTTTTATTTTTAAGTGATACAACCTGAATGAGGTAGAACATCTCGATGTAACGCGATATCAGAGTGAGGGTAAGTCACACAGTTGCTATGTGACACTGAACTTTTGCAAGCCAGAGGCTTCCCACTAAACTCAATGTCACGGTCAAGTCAGCATATTGTGGTGTGCAGAGTTGGGGTGAATGACTCTGGTAGTAGGCTGGAAACTACTTGTTATTCCATCTCAAGAAATTTTCTTGAAAAAAGAACTCAGGGCAT